ACAGTCAGTAAAATGCGAATATGGAACTTGGTCTCTGTGTGGCCCTTCAACAGAAAAGTAAGACAAAAAGTACTGGTTTTTGGAGAGATTTTTGTTCCTATACACATTTAGTTTGTTAAAGGCCTGTATATTTTGTGCTAGATAGTAGGTAGATGCAGTGCTATGGTGGCTCTCGCCCTAGGAGCAGGACTGCAATGCTACACGGTTATTTTTATATTTGGTAGCTTCCTCTACTTCTGAGCTATGAAGCCACAAAAATTCATAAATTAATTAAATTTTGTGTATAATTTCATGTTAACTTAAAGGAGATGTCTCTGGGGTGAATACTGTTAAGCGCATGAGTAATTCCCAATGGGGTAGAACCAAAAGCATACTGATGGCAACCTAGCGAACATTGGCATCACCATGCTACACTGGTTTTCCAACGTCATTAAAAATATTCAGTTTGCTAAAGCATGTTGGCAACTAAATACATGCTTCATCCTCAAGCTGCTTTTAATTTCAGCAACTGATTGTTTTCTCTGAATGAAGGACACAGTTATTGGCACCATGATGGTCCCATGAAGCAACAATCAATTAAAGAGCTTTGTGAATGAAGAGGGGAGCTGTCACATCATACCTAGACTAAAACAAACAAACAAAATTAATTTAAAGGAAAAAAAAAAAAAGGCATTTCCTCTCTGATTTCCACCAAAACATCCAACAGCCACCACTGCATCAAACTGCCTATGGAATACAGGTACACTAAACCCAAGTTTTCTCCAAATTTTATCTTTATAATATGGGTGCCTTCAAAGCACTGTGTGCAAAGCGGGGGGGAAGAAAAAAAAACCCAAACTAACACCAAACCCTAGCCAGGCTTCTTTAAACATCTGCTCTGAGAAAAACACTTGCGATGGTTTATTACTTCTTTGAGTTGGCAATATGGGGTTTAGGCTGGTAAGAATGATAAAGGCATAAACCATCAACTCCCTATAAGAAGGAATAAGAGCAGCAACAGCCTTGCCATTTATTCAGCTCTTCCATGCCCTGTCCTTGCCAGTTCCATTTCAGCTCTCTCAAGCAAAATGTTTATTTACACATTTTATGGGGTAAATACATTATTTTGTTTTTGAAGAGTGCAATGTAGTACTTTGGGTCCTTATAAATCTAAAGTTTAAAAGCCTTGATTTATCCTGCAGTCCATCCACATAAAGCATCTGAAGAGCTGCATTCTTTGAGAATTCATCAGAGCGCCATTCAGATTCTTTAAAGTATCAGTCAAACAAATGCACAATGTGGTATCATCGAAATATCCAGCCTACATACAAAGGAACTTAATACCTAACAGATAAAACCACACTAAAATGGGTGTTAAGGCTTATCTATGTATTAAAAAGCCAGTATCAGCACAGTTTTTAAAATTATATTTTAAATTGGTGTACATAAAAAATGAGTGGTTTTTTCAGATAATGTGAAATTGCCAGAGCTTTGAATAGAGCAAGAATTCACACAAAAAATACTATGTCATGCAAAGCCAAGCCACTTAAAAATCAAAATCCATCAAAACAAGGTCCATATTTGTTACACTAATAGAAGTTTGCATTTGCAGATAGAGCTCAGCATTTTGAGACTATTAGTTCTGCCAAATCTAACATAAAAAAAAATTAATCCGAGTAAATTAATGTCACATGCAACATACACTTACTCCCTAAAATATAAAGCTTAAGACATTTAACTATGTGTATTGTATTTATTAATCAAAATCCAAGAGGTTTCTAGAACGCCAATGACAAAAACCAAGAACAATGTATTCAGATACAAATCACAGTTAATGGAAACAAAACATCAAAGGAAATTGAATCAGAAAAGAAGTTGCTTATTTT